TGAGATTTTTTTGCAAGATATTCCAGGAAACAGGAGCAGAGCAGGAGAAGGCCCTTTTGTAAGTTCAGTCTGCACTGAAGGAACACTGCAGGTAATGATGTCCTGAGAGCCCACGCTGTAGCTGCACTCACGCAGTGACATGTAGGAGGAGATGTATGAAGGCAGCAGACCAAGAAGTGATTTAAAGATGAAAATGTACCAGTGAGAGAGTCTGCGTGAAGTTAATGATGTCCAGTTAACCAGTGAATACAGGGTGCAGTGGTGGGTACGACAATCACAGCCAGTTATGAATCTTAGTGCACCGTGATAGACAGCATCCAACATCTGCAGGGTTCTTGTGGGGTCGTTTATGTAAATAATGTCACCATAATCAATGGAGGGAAGGAAAGTAGCAGTTACAAGGTGTTTCCTAGCATTCAGAGTTAAACAGGATTTATTTCTGAAAAAGAGACCCAGCTACTTTCTTTTTCTTTACCAAGTTTTCGACATGAGCTTTAAAAGAGAGATGTACATCGACCAAGATTCCCAAGTATTTGTAAGAATTGACAAACTCAACAGGAACACCATTCGCAGGTAAAATAGAAGGAAGAACTGCTGGTACCGACTTCCTGTTTGAAAACATTCCTTTGGTTTTGTCGGTGGTTAGCACTTTGAGATGCAACAAATCTGACTGGATGATGTCAAAAACAGACTGTAAGAGCTGGAAAACCTTAGCAACTGCTTTAGCTCAACAATAAACAACTGTGTCATCAGCATAGAAATGTAAGGATGAATCAGGGCTGGTCTGACCTACATTACATATGTAGATTGTGAAGAGGGTGGGTCCTAAGACTGAACCTTGTGGTACACCATTGTTAACAGTTAGATAGTTGGAGGAAGTACCATTATGTTGAACACATTGCCTCCGATCTGAGAGATAGTTAGAGAACCAACCAATGGTGTGTTCTGAGAAACCAATTTCTGAGAGCTTATGACACAAGATGTTATGATCCACAGTGTCAAAAGCTTTAGACAGGTCTAAGAAAAGTGCAGCACAATAATCCTTAGCATGCAAGAACAACAACGTCATTAAAAACCTTCAGCGAAACAGTCATTGTGCTGTGTTGTTTCCTTGTTGTTTCATGTTAAATGAGTCCAAATACTTCTTGATTTGAGAGTTTAGCAATTTTTCTAGAACCTTAGCTAAAATACAGAGTTTAGAGATTGGTCGATAATTGTTCGGTGAGGTGGGGTCACCTCCCTTCAGCAAAGGTAGAGCGAAAGCTGTTTTCTAAGCATTTGGAGCGGCGTTTTGGCTTATGGACATTTTAAAGATGTGGGACACCGGTACTATATGTATACGATATGAGTGGCCAGCCTTAAGAAATAAGGAAGGTCATCAGGGCCTGCAGATCTTCTAGAATCTAGACCTTTTAACAATTTATTAACCCCACTAACTGAAAACAGTGAAAATGAAAAGGTGACGTTTAGATGGACTTGTAGGAGAGATTTGGTTTGTAGATGTTTGGCTCAAAGGAGAAGTAGGTGGTTTTCCATTAGTAACTGTGGCAAACAAGGAAGTAGAAGTAACAACGTCAGTGTTTACTGGAATCCTGTCCAGCTTGAATTGACAGGAATTTCCCTGAATGAGTCAGTTTTATTGTTGCTAACAAAGTGTTTGTTCTGCCGACTGTATGTTTCAACTTAACTCAGTTCAGCAATTATATATCTATTTTCTGTAATTCAGTCAAATCTAAACACATCAACATGACACTTTATTTTAAAATATCTAGATCCTGTTTATTAAAACAGAAATATTTTATGTACCAAAGACCTCAGTCTCATGACTTGTGTCCTAGCAGTTGTTTTAAGAGACATAAATGTTATTTCAGTTTGGTTATTTCTTCTGTATATTTGTTTTTTAGCTCTGACCTGCACTTGTTTCAGTTTTTATGTAAATCATATTAGCTCCATGTTGTCAGCCATACTTTATAATTCCACCTCTTTAAAGCTCATAAAACTTCATAAACTCACAATAAGTAGCGCGTGCACCTGGGGTTTTAATGTTATATTTGAAATCACAAGCACAATTAACAAGGTGTGTAATAAACATCAATAAAACACGTAATAAATGCTTTTTAATTACCTGGTGCAGCATTTCCTTTGAGTTCTTGGCCTTGGTGGGTTCAACAAGATAAAGATTTGGAGTTTACATTTCGCTTTCAATAACAGCAATAATTTAACATTTGATTAATAGGTACAATAACACAATGCATTTTAATACATATAAAATAAAAAATAATTTTATAACTTTAAGGATTATTTAGAAAGTGTGCAGCTTTTCTAGTCTGGGCTTCCCTAAGAACATTTCCAAAGCTTCTTGATATTAAAAAAAATCTTGTATAAAGTGGATCTTGACTGACTTTTATTAAATAAATGATCAAATATGAACAGTAAAGTACAGATTTTGCATGTCAGTTTTGTCCGTCCAGTTTGCCTGCGTTTTTACCAATTATGCAGTTTTAACGTTCATGTGTTTTTAGCATCAAATAGAATTTTCAAACATTACAAAACTTATAATGTGAATGTTCACTGGCCAAAATAAGATTACGGTGATAAACACATATAGCTAGACACTGAAAGGCAGCTCCCTTCTTTAGGAGTCACCAGCAAACAAACACAGAATATCTGGCAACCACTGATCACAGAGCTACCGCAGCCCTTTGTGTGGAGCTTAGGCCTGTCACGATAACAATTTTGTTGGGCAATTAATTGTCTCAGAAATTATTGTGATAAACGATAATATTGTTAGAAATTTGACAATAATTAGTAATTGTCGAATTTAAGGAAAAAATTTGGTTAATTTATTTTGTGTGTACTACCTGTTTTGACCACCGGGTGACAGTATAAGACTGTTTGAACCGAAGGATGGATAGTGAGGGAGCAAGCAGCGTGTCTCTTTTTAAAGAGGAATGGGAGGGAGACCTCTTGACGTGACATGGGCTGTCTCTCTTCAGTTCTCAACATTTCAAACGCCCGGTGTGGTTTGAGCTCTTTAGCATAGTATTTTTCACACAAAGCTTTTAATAAAAAAATCAGTAAACAAGTTCTCAGCTTCTTTTTTTTTTCAGAGAAAAACAACTTTTTAGACGAAGGCACGGGTTTCAACTGTGAATTTTGGAGCTTCGACAAGACGGAGTTTTTTTCCCGAGGTTGGCCTGTTAGCTTAGCTCATAGCTTCTCAACTTAGCTGCTTTTAGCGAAGAGAGAAGAAAAGAAGAGAAGAAACGATAAATCCGATAAATGAAAACGAGGTTGATAATTTTCATTTATCATGTGATTAATTGATTTATTGTTTATCACGACAGGCCTAGTGGAGCAGGGGGCTCATCTAATGGAGTAATGATTTGATGTAATGGTCAGGGGATTTGAACGAGCAACCCCTCTATCACAGGTTCACCTTCTCTTGCCTCTGCACCACGACTCTCCTCATGTTTTTGTATCTATAAAACTTTATTTTCAAAAGGGGGGTGTCTTAAAGATTATACCCCAGGTAGTTCTTTGCACATTATAATTTACAACTGACATTTTTTACTTGCTGGAATGACATATTTTTCCTTTAAAATTATTATTTTATTTAAAGAGATTATATTTTAAAGATTTCAGCTCATGTAGTCATTTAATATAATTTATTTTCATGTTTGATCATTTATTGAATTACATTTATCACAGTTACAGTTACATCAGTATCAATATGTATCAGTATGGTATCAGTATCAGTAATAGTATCAGTATGGTTCCAAATATACGCACTCTTAGCACAAACAAAGAGCCAAACTCTTATTTATATTACTATAATACATTGTAGAATTGAAATGTGCAGTTACCGTATTTATATAAACTACAAACGCCTGACACTGACATTCACAGAGAGAACATTGTGAGGGTTTCGGAAAAAAAAAGTAAATGTTAAAGGGAGACGCCTTTGCTATGTTCTTAGGCATACAATTGTATATCTTTTTATTTCCAAAACAGGCTGTGTGCTTCCACAGCAGCTGATCCTGTGGTTCATTAATCTTTGACTCCCGCTCTCTTTGCTAGCAGGAGTCAGTGTTGCCAGATATAATTATTGTATTTACATACAATATGATATTCCATCAGTAGTTTAAAACAAAAACAAATATACAATAATTTTAGGATATCCGTGCACTAAAAAAAAAAAAAACACTTATTTTTATTCACCTGAACATCTCATTAAACAATCTGATCTGACCAGCAGCAAGACTGAACTGGCAAGGCACAGACCACCTCCTCCTTTCCATCACTTCCTCATCCCCTCTGTTTCCTTCACCAACATGTCCATTCAGGTCTGCTCCGATCAGCACTCTCTCCTCCCTGGGAATACTCTCTATCACTTCATCCAGATCTTTCCAAAATGTATCTTTCTCCTCCACATCACATCCAACCTGTGGAGCATAACCACTGACAACATTTAGCATCAGACCTTCTACTTCTACCTTCAGACACATCACCCTATCCGACACTCTTTTCACCTCTACTACATTATTTGCCAACTCCTCCTTCAGGACCACCCCTACTCCATTTCCTTTTCAATCCACACCGTGGTAGAACAGTTTGAACCCTGCTCCAATGCTGCGAGCCTTGCTGCCCTTCCTCTTGGTCTCTTGGACACATAAAACATATACCTTCCTTCTCAGCATCACGTCAGCCAGCTCTCTACCTTTGTCATTGTCTCCACATTTAGAGTTGCAGCCCTCAGGCCTGCATTCTTGACTTTCCTCCTCTCTTTGTCTCCTGACATGTTTCCCTTCTCCTGGTCTTCAACTATGTCAGATGCCCTTCCTGACACAACCGTGATTTTCAGATACTGTTCATCTGCTGTAAACACTTTTAGGCCTGACTCTTCTGCAAACTGTTGTCTGTAGTTTTGATTTGTCTGCCGTTGTTTTTTAATTGTTTTAAAAGCAACTTATGTTTTTTTTTTCCCCCTCAGAATCAAAATGAGCACTCAGGAGCAGGAAGAAGCAGAGAAGAAATACGACCCACTTGACACAACTCTGAAGTTTGTTGACAGGGGGGACGACTTGGATCCAGTGTGTAAGAATTGTTTTCTTCTTGGCTGATCTTGGGAGACTGAATAAATAAATTAAAAAACTACAAATCAGAACGGTCGGGCTTTATTTGAACACACGTTAAAATAAACAACTTAATCTAGGTTGTTTTTCTTTATATGTGCAGCTAAATGATCATTTTTGTCACTTGTATGAACCGTGACAGCTGTTACGTCTTATTTAAATGAGTTTTGCTCTCTTCAGCCTCAGATTTTTTCTCCCTCCGAGCAGAGATGTCCTGCGGCCACGCCGTCACTCCTGAATCTCTGACCCAGTGGTGTCGCAGCCAGCTGAACGAGGTATCTCAGCTCTTTACAGATCGTAAAATAATGATGCCGGTTAATAAAAGAAGAAAAAAATCAAACTTCAGAAGAGTCCGTTTCTCTTCCTGTTGAGCCAAATTGATTCTTATGTTTGTTTTTAAAGGGCAATTATAAATTCAGATGTCCTGCGTTGGTGGACGGCATCACGATGTGCAATAAACTGTGGTCGTACAAGGAGGTGCGCAGACTGGCGGATTTGGATGTTGAGGAAATGCAGTATTTTGAGGAGAACATGGCCCGTTTGGCTGTAGCAGAATACTGTGAGGTTCATTCGGTGAGTAGTCCAGTGGCTTAAAGAATAAAAAAAATTCTTAGATTTTTTAATTTTTTTTTATTTAAAACCAAATCAAGTGGATCTAAACATTCCTGGTGGTCCTCTATATTTCAGTGCCCAAGGTGCAAGACCAGTGTGGAGAGGAAGAATCTGTCCAACCTGTGTGTCCAGTGTGTCGTTTGTACAGCGGACCTGAAGAAGTCCTACCAGTTCTGTTGGCAATGCGACAAGCCTTGGAAGAGCCCAGGAGCTGGATCAGGCCGCTGCGGCAACGACGGCTGCGTCAACAAGGACCTACAGATTCTGTGGACGTGCAAAACCATCAGTCTGTTCGACGTCGTAGGCGTCGATAGCTGCCCCTCGGTCCGAGCCTGTCCGGTGTGCGGTCTAAAGGTGGAACACAACCAGAAGTATTGCAAAAATGTTGTGTGTCCACGCTGCAAAGAGGAGTTCTGTTTTGTATGCCTGAAACTAAAGCGTATCTGTTGTCAAACCAGTTCGCCGTTTACAATCTGTCCTGACGGTGTGGCTCCGAGACAGACGTCTATTCCCGTCTGGAAGAAAAAAATAACGGGAAAATAGCTTTTGGTTTTGATGAAAAGTTTTACAAGAAATACGTTGAGGAATTCTAAAAAGACTAGAAAAGCCTTTAAACCAGGGCTATTCAACCGAAGGACCAGAGGTCAAATCAGGCCCACAGGTGAGCTCAGTTCGGCCCACCATTGGGTTCATTTTTAAATAAAACTAGATTTTAAACCATAAAACAAACTTAATGACAATAACTGCTGGATGTCCGGCCCCTGAACGCTTGGTTTTCAGTAACTGTGGAACCCTGAGCAGTTTAGTTGAATAGCCCTGGTTTAAAGCAAACGTTTAAACAAAACGTTAGTTGAATGTCTTAGCTTTAAAATTTTTAAATATCTTCTATCTGGTTTTATTTTTCTTGACGAGAACTATAACTTGTTCATTCTCTCTTAAGAAAGTTTACTCCAGGGTGTTGGACGTAACCCACATGGGCTACTAAACCCATATCTGTAATTTAGGTTGTAATACCGGGAAGGTCCAGCAGAGGGCACTCAGTTTTTACTGAGTTGAATTTAACCAACATGGTTTGGTCATTTTCCCCTATATTCTGAGGCATGCTCTTTACACATGCACTGACTGACCAAACTGTAGACTTTTCAACCTGTCTATGAGTGACAGAAGTGACCACTCGTTGAGAATTATCTGTGGAAATCCCAGTGAGTGAATAACTCAGTTGAGCTCACTTAGCTTGTGGCTAATGTATAGATAAGTTAAATATTAAACTGTCAGATACTGAGGTATGTCTCTAAATAAACCAATCGGGAGTTTGTTGGACTTTGTCCTAATGTTTTAATTGCTTTGGTGTGTTTTACATCATTGTACTGACAGAAATAAGAATAAAAATGCTAACGAGCTAATGCTAGCACTAACCACAGGTGCTAATGCTAATGACAAAAAATGTGGTTTTGTATTCTAAATCATAATGATTCATTAAAAATACATGCAGTTCATAGTAAGCCATGTTAAAGCTACTATAAATTGTTTTTGATTGAAATAATAAATGTTGAAGTGTTATAAATTCATTCATCAACATGTTAAAAGCAAAAGAAATGTAAACTGTTTAATATGTCTGATATGTTATGCAGTGGGCAGCATGGTGACACAACTGGTAGAGCTGCTGCCTCTCAGCGAGCAGGTCCCCGGTTCAAATCTCGGTCCGGAGGCCCTTCCGGATGGAGCTTGCATGTTCTCTCCATGCATGCGTGGGTTTTTTCCGGGTTCTCCGGTTTCCTTCCACAGACCAAAAACATGCATGTTAGGCTGATTGGTAACTCTAAATTGTCTCTAGGTGTGAGTGAGAGAGTGAATGGTTGTCTCATTTGTCTCTATGTGTCCCTGTGATGGACTTGCGACCTGTCCAGGGTGTACCCCGCCCCTCACACATTGATTGCTGGACATGGGCACCGGCGACCCCCGTGACCCAAAATGGAAGAAGAGGGTAAAAGATAATGGATGGATGGATGTTATGCAATCTAACATTGATTTTGATTAACTTACAAGTTATGCATTGCATATTTAAGTTGTCAATGTATTTTGTTGGTTTAACACTAAAAATACTTAACAGTTAACTACCATTTATTGCATTTCATGGTAGTTCACCATAAACTTAAGCTGATTAAGCTAAAAACTAGAAGGAGAAATATGTGAATGATTTGTATTCTTGAGAAAGGACATGGAATCTCATAATTGAACGGGAACAGAATGATTTACTTTCTGCACTTTATGCAGATTGGTTTTATAGTGACTCTGGATTCTTTGATCGTGATGGCGAGCCGAGCCCATGCGAACTGTGGACAGGTGTAAACGGTGTGGCCAGCCTGGACATCCTTTCGCAGAAGAATATTCACAATCCGGAAAATCCATCTTGGGTTACAGATAAGATTCCATACACAACACTACCCGGGGTTAGCAACACAGCTAAAGAACTGAACTTAATTTTACCAACAAAGTCCATGCTCAATAATCCAGGTATACAATCCAACAATTTTCAGTCAGGTCATCTGGACAGTTTCTTTTTTTTGTTTGTGCTGAAACGTTTCACCTTCCATCCAGCAGGCTTCAACAGTCAAGGAAATGCACAACACAAAACTGATTCTTCCCCCAACAGCTTACTCCAAAGTGGAACAAACCAGTTATGTTGGTGCTAAGATGGTCTCTTTGGTACGCCCCCTCCTCTAGTGCCGGCCCTCTCCCTCGTCGACAGTCATGTCAAACTGGTTCAAAAACCAACAAAGTCCATGGTCAATAATCCAGCTATACAATCCAACAATTTTCAGTCAGGTCATCTTCACCACTGTCGATGAGGAAGAGGGCCAGCACCGGAGGAGGGGGCGTGCCAAAGACACCATCTTAGCACCAACATAACTGTTTTGTTCCACTTTGGAGTAAGCTGTTGGGGGAAAAATCAGTTCTGTGTTGTGTGTTTCCTTGACTGTTGAAGCCTTCTGGATGGAAGGTGAAACGTTTCAGCACAAACAAAGAAAAAGAAACTATCCAAATGACCTGACTGAAAATTGTTTAACTTTATTTTATTTATTTTTTTCACAAAAGGGGGAAAGAGCTTTGTTTAATTTTGCTTGTATTTTATTTTTCACACATTTGTAACAAAGTTTGTGTTATAAATGTTTATGTTGGGAAGCAATAAAATAATCAGTTTGGTATTCGGTTGGCAGAACCTAGTAGATGTTTAGTGCCTGTTCCCTACTGGTCCACTTCAAGTGCGCTACAGACAGAAGACTTCAACCAATTGTTGATCCTCAGATTCAGGTGCAGTGTGGCTTCCATTTGGTCATGGATCAGATCTTCACCCTTGCAGAGGTGCTAAAGGGCTGATGGGAGTTTGACTCTCTAGTCTACATGTTTTACATTTGGAGAAGGCCATATTGTCGAGGCATCTGTGGGGGTTGCTGCCGGAGGGGTGCCAGGGTTATTTCTAAGGGCTATTTGGCAGTAAAGTAACCAAAGCAGGAGCTGTTTCTGCATCCTCAGCACAAAGTCCAGTTCATTCTCAGTGCAGGTTGGACTCTGCCAGAGACGTCTCTTGTTGTGACATCTCTCGTCTTGTCATTAATGGACAGGGTCTCAAGGTGCAGTCATGGAGAGAAGGGTATCTGGTTCAGGAACCTTAGGATCTCATCTTTGCTTTATGCAGATGATGTAGTTCTGTTGGCGTTGTAGAGGAACATATGCATGAGATATATTCATCAATTAAACGGATTCTTTCATTTTTCTGGACTGTATATAACGTGCATTGAATTTAATAAAATGTATCGTGAGACGTTATTTATCTTTGACCCATCAAAATGAATGTGGTCATTTATTTACAGAATCAAAGTTTAACATCAAACATTTACATTAATTTGGCACATTGAAAAATAACAACATGGCTAATTTTAGCAAGCTATACAAGTGATTGATTATCCACACGGCGGTGGATGAGAACTTTACACAGACATTTCTAAAATTATCTGGAATGATTTCTACTTGATAGAAGAATTTAAAGAGGAAAGATGAAGTTTAGTGGGAGAAAAGATGGGTGAGGGGGTTTGTTTATGTCGGCACCAGAAACAGCACTCTCCGGGTTTCTCAGCTTTTTCCCCGGTACACTTAGGTGGCAGAATTCAACTCTTTTACCTGGAGATGTCCCCAGCGGTACGAAAGTCCATTCAATGCACCCTTTCAGCGTCTCCGTAGGAACAGCTGTGAATCGTCCGAAGTAGTGACGGTATTCCGTTCGACACAAATTCACCTCAGCAAGTGGACTTCACATGAGTGGAGTCCGTCAGAGTTCCACCCAGATGTGGAAGAAAGTTATAATCCCATAAGACTCGGAAGAGCTCTGTGGTCATGTCAGGATCTTCCTGTTTCCCAGCACGGGAGCTCGACCGCAACCTCGGCTCGACTCAACTGGAACTTCGACCCAACAGGAACTTCGACCCAACAGGAACTGGGCTGAACCAGGAAGTACCGACATTTTAAAGAGCTCTATTTCCGGTTCATTTGGGAGTTTTCTTATTGGTCAATGTCGACCAGACAGGGGTGTGTCTTGTGACGTAAGAGGTTACTAGAAGTCAGAAAACAGCAAGAATGTTATGGAACAGATTGAAAATGTTTTTCAGACAGACGAGAGAAATGTTTGGGCGAGTTTGGGAAAACAGGTGCCAGCTTCTCTGTTTACGTCTGAGAGGATTTAAAAACAACACAGCTCGTTCCAACACTTGTCTGCTTAGACTCCGACCTTGGACCAAACTTACCCTGCTCATTCACAGACAGAAAATCAGAAAATGCATAATTACTCTGTAACAGACCTTAACATGAATTCTAACTTTGCATGAGGATTAAAAATAATCATTGTTACTGTTTTACAGTTAATAAAAATTGATTAGTTCACTGTAACATCTAAAATGTTTGAACTAAAACACTTTGATTATCAAACATTTGTAAAACAGTAATGATAATAGAAAAGAGAGTGTTCTTTCACTTGAATTCTCAAGAAAGAAAATCTCAGGATGGTCAACCTGCATTTCTGGATTCAAATCAATGAAATGACAGTTTCTGTCCCACAAGGTTCTTAAGGTCAAGGGTTTTGACCTTAGGCTTAGTTCACTACAGCGTCTTCAGGTCGCAACCTTCAAAGTGCACTAGGCAGTTTGCAGCTGTGTGTGTAGCAGCTGGGATGAAAGTCAGCTCCTCTGAGTCCAAGGCCGTGGTTCTCAACCCATAAAATATGGAATGCTCCCTTCAGTCCAAGAATGAGTCTCTGCCTTCTGCAGAGGACTTCAAGTTTCTGGGAGTCGTGCTGTCAAGTGATGGTAGGATGGAGCGGGAGATGGATCGATGGATTGAGGCCTTGTTTGTAGTACCGGGAACACTGATTTGGTTTGTGTTGATGGTTACACTATACGTTATATTAAAAAACAAACCAAAAAAATAACAAACCAAAAAAATAATAATTTCGATGCTCTTTATCTACATGCTTATAGCAGTGGTTCCCAACACACATCCTTGAGGAACGCCATCCTGCAAGTTTTAGTTGTTTCCTGTTCCAGCACACCATATTCAGTGATTTAATTACTTCGTCATGTTCTGCAGTAGCCTGATAATCACCCATTTATTTAAATCAAATGTGTTGGAGCAGAGAAAGAACTAAAACATGCAGGATGGTGTTCCTCAAGGACCAGGATTGGGAACCCCT